CACATTTTATATTTAGATAAATGTATTCATATATATATATATATTGGCATCATTAAATAGATATCTTACTAAATAAAAAAATATATTTTAAATTAATATTTACATTATCATTTTTAAATGTATTTAAATATATTATTAACATTATTAACTACATTTCTTATAAAAAACTTGTAACAAACAATCAACAATAACCCTTGCACACCTGAAGGCGATCGATAGGTGCGTAGGAAAAAATAAATAAAAATAAAAATAAAAGAAGAAAAATCCTATAGTGTGCAGGATTTATTTTTCTTCTTTTATAAAAAACTTGTAAAATATTTATTTATTTACTTTACATGAATAATTTTAATAATATTACTTACATTTATTTATTTATTTTTTTATTTGTATTATAAATTATTATTAACTAAATCAACAAATATTTAAATATTATAAAAAGCAATAAAATAAATTCCCCTCTACCCTTCTTAAGAAATACCAAAAGATAAAACAGTGGCATTTATGCTTTCAGATATATTACAATAATAATAATAATACATTTTATTTATAATGCGCTTTTCTTACACCCAAAGCGCTACAGTAAAACAGTAACACAAGAGCTAATAACACCACACCACATGCAAATACTCACTATATAACTGAATTTACAAATTATGCAAAACGACATATTACAAAACAAAGTATTTCTTTATAACTGCCTCAGAGATATTAGCAAACAACATGTCCATTGTAGATGACAGGAACGAGCTGCTGTCTCGGGATTTAGAGGATTTAGGGCTGTAACCTTTCACCTTTACTGACCCGTCTGAATGAATGTCGTGCACAGACTGTTCCTAATCAATACTCCATCATCGACTCCATAAAATCAATCAAGTCAAAATCTGGTCTGCCTACCTTTTATCTCCGTACTGTATGATTTTGGATCAATGAGAAGAAATAATCACGTTTTGCCTCCAGTCATCCATTAAACTGGCTCAACTGCGCGTATGATCCAATTCAGTGCGTCGGGTTATTATTCCGGGGCGTCAGGGCGATGTTATATGTTCATAAATGTAAAGACATTTGTACACAAACACGGCAGAGATACACAAATAACACACTGCCAAAACAAACGAAACATTCATACATGGGCAGGAAGTGTCAGGTAGATTCCTTTGATCTAATGGACAGGTCAACTGCCCAATCACATGCGTTATACGCACATTCAACCCCGCCCACCATGGAGCGCTAGCCAATCGCGTCGAAGCACCAAGTCTATGTGCATTTGAAGTGGACGCGCAGGTGCATCTGAGCAACAGTGATGTCTTCCCAATCTTATGATAGACTTAACTAAATTACATACTTACAAATCTAAAAAAATAAATAAAAATAAAACATTAAAAACTAAAACCAATTTTAGTGTATATAGGCATCACAACATTATAATTGATAATAGAACCAATTATGGGAGTTGAGACTGCCATCTACTGTCTGAAACCGGGAATTAAAAAGTCGTTGCAACTCGAACACAAAATGAATTGTTCTTCTTGCAACAACCCAGGATCTCCAGTACAAATAAAACATTTATTGCTAAACACATTTTTTATACAAATCTCACACATTTTCACAAAGTTCTTCTATAAGAAGAAAACACAACAGAAGTGTAAGTGGGAATTGGTGCCATCTGGAAAGAAAGGTTTTCTGATAAACAGTCCTGTTGAGGTAGTGATCCGTCCAACATCCTAAAGCTCTTAAGAAAATGTGGTCACTTGAGAATATATACTTGAGAAAATATATTTTTATATAACCGTTTCCAATGAAAATGGTTACAATTTTCAA